AAATAATGCGTTTTTTAAAAAACGAAGCATTAACACATGTTAGACTGCACCCCATAAACTCAATCAAGCCTAGAAAAAAACAACCAGTCAACCACCCCTTTAAGGACTTTTCTTAAGAAATTATTTTTCTTATTTCTTTATTGTGGACAGTCATTGACTATTTATTAGTGTTGATTTGGCTGTTGTTTTTAAATATATTTTGTTTCTCACAGTTAAAGAGCAACTTCATCACCGAACTGTAAACTGGAACTGAGAACGAAACAAGCATGATGATTCTCAAAGGGGACAGTCACATTCACACCTGACCCTGTTCCTCCCAAGACTGCTGTTATACCACAAAACAATAGAGCAAAAATAGAGCCTTGGTTTCACCCTACTTTTCTTTTTCTTTCTGCGAGCAGGCACCCAACAGGCAGGTGATGCATTACTGGCTGCAGCAGCTACAGCAGAAACGATGGGATTTTTGCAAAATGTCTGGCCACAGAGACAGCTGGTGCTCCCCCACCCCGTTTTTTCCACATACAGGCCTGGTGGCCAAAGATGCAGGTGAGATATATGGAGAAGTGAGCAGACCGTGACAAACACTCAATGCACTGAAAGAAAGAACGATAAAAAGCAGTTGTTGGTCATGGCCTCTATTCATATGTGGAATTTTTGATGCTGTTGTATTGTCAACCTATAGTTTGTTTGCTGCTTGAGTCAAATATCATAAATGCGCACGATTCCTCAGCCATGTGTCACCATTTTACATAGTTTCCTGTTTTTAGAAAGCATATGAGTAAATATAAAGTAGAAGGTTATTTTGCATCTGTGAATATGTACTATTAAGTAGTTCTACTAAACTGATGTTTCGGATAACCTTAAAACATTTTTTGGTCTTTGGAATATTAGTTTTGTATACACATAAAATGTACCCAGAAATGAATTTTAAACTAAAATTGTAGTTAAAACTATATAAAAGAAATAGATAAGTAGTTAAGTAAGTTGGATAGTGTATTGTTGTAAAAGCAGCCAACAAACAGATCTTAGTAATGATAGAAATGGTTAAAGTTTTTTCTCGATTTCACTTTCCTTTTTAATGAGGGACTATAAAGGATCTTCAAAACCTCAGACAGTTTTGTGGTTTCTGCTGTATGTGAATAGCTGTAGCATTTAGTATTATTTTAGAAGTCGAAAAGGCAGAACCAAAACAAAAGGCCAGTGTGCTTCTTCCTTATTACTGTCACTTGGCGGGTAATTTTTTTTAATTAACATAAAACAAATGCACCTGTGAGCCTCTATGCTTTAGTCATTTCATTCAGTTAATTAACATAGTTGTTACTGGCCTTTGTAATGATAACAATAGTACAGTAAAGCAAAATTATAGTAAAGTGTCTTCTCACATTAACCTTTGTCCCATTTAGTGGTAGTACAGCTATATTTAAAATTGTAAATGTGCTTTACGCTTGCAAAAATTTAGATATTAGTCAGCAACATTATTACTGCACCCAGAGTCGGAGAGTAATTTATGTAGTGGTTTCTGATACTTTATTACTATATTTTCATTATATGAAGATTATAGCTCAGCACATAAACAGACTGATTTAGTGGGGTGTTTTAATGGAGTAATTAACTCAAAAATCTAAATTTGCCGGAAAGTTACTCATCTTCACGTCATCCAAGATGTAGATGAGTTTGAGTTTCATCAGAAGAGATTTGGTGAAATGTAGCATTATAGCACTTGCTCGCCAATGGATCCTCTGCAGTGAATGGGTGCCGTCAGAATGAGAGTCCAAACAGCTGATAAAAACAAGTAATTCACACAACTCCAGTCCATCAATTAACATCATGTGAAGTGAAAAGCTGCATGTTTGTCATAAACAAATGTATCATTAAGGGGTTTTAACTTAAACATCACTTCTGGCCAAAATACGAGTCCATAATTCATAACAACGCTTTCTCCAATCCTTCCTCCAAGTCCATTCTCTCTTGTCCTCTCAAATCAAAATCCACTGACATATTTGTTTAGAACTGATGGCATATTCATACACAAATTAATACACATATATGCTGCAAAATAATAACAGGGTTGACCATTTTAGAGTTTATTTAGACATTACTAACCTTGTGCATGGAACTACAAGGTGTTTATTAGAAAGGGAATTTATTGCTGATGTTTCTATAAATATCTGCTTTACTATAATCAAATCTTTCTGTACAAAATCACAGTAACAGGGTTGATCATTTAAGATTGTCCACTATGGACAAAAATGCAAAAACACATGGATTAACAACTATATTAAAAAAGAGAAGACATTTGTCTTTGCACAGTTCACTTCCTAAAAGGATGATGATGCAATTTTGACAAGGCCAAGCAATTGCAGTTTCATTTAATAAGGGAGATTGAATGATAACAGGGTTGCATAACCTGGGGAACACCTTTAATTTCTTTTTAAAAATGCATTATGTAAATCTAATGTAATATACAGAAAAATACAAATCTTAATTTTACATTTCTTTTCATTTCTTTTAATCGGATACATACACTACATACAGTATTTATTTATACAACTAACTGTCAACCCTGTTACCACTGTTAGTTGGAAACACCCATCAAGAAATATTAAATGTTGATGAAAAAAACAAAAAATTGTTCTAATGATGTCATTAGAAAAGTCGGCTATTTATGAATAAAGTAATTATTTGTACATATGTTAATGAGGGATACAAAAGGCCTTTTGTACAATGAAATTATGTGTTTCTCTGCAGTGCAGATTTACTAATGCGTTGAAACAAGGACACATCTTAGATTGATGAATGACACTGAGAAAAGTGCCAGACTGTGATCGTTGACGCTGATAACTCAAACTGTGACCGTGTTGTTTTAGAAGCAGTGCTCTATGAGAAGCCCAACGAGAGCATGGAAAGTGTTCGGAGTGACTTTGCTGTGGAGATGGACAGTGATGGGCTGGTCGGGCTCCAGTCGGTGCGTAACCCTGTGGCACAACCCAACGCAGCTCTCAACTCCCTCCGACACTGGGGCTCTGAGATCAGGTAGGATCCTGGGAGACTCACACTAGGATGACCGCTATTGAGCATCATTTTTTAAAGGTTTTAATTGAACTGTATTTAATTGAAATCCTGCATGTAGAGCAAGCAAAAATGATATAAGAACAACTGTAATTATGTAAATTTAACTGTCCCAGTGGTTTAATACTGTGGACAAAAGCTGTTGTTGTTTGGTCTGATAATGTGAAAATCTCTATATAGTTTGTATTAAAACAATATTAGAAACCTTTTTTGCACAATGTAGAGCATCCAGATATACATTTAGGCTATATTTGTTTGTTTGTTTTTATTAGCCTTCAATTTGCACATAATTAGGAGTAGAATATTAGGATATATATAATTTTTTCTTTTTTAGGAATTTTTTTAATACAATTAATGAAATAATAAAAAAATCAACAGATTGATTATCAAAATAAGTGCTAGTTGCAGCTTAAGTACTTTTTAAAGAGAAAAGAATGTGCTCTTTCAATATATTGTCATTATTATATTGTTTTATTGTATTATATTAATATAATACAATTCATTGAATTATCTGCTTTCAACATTAGCTTAATCAGACTGAAGCCTATAAATAATAAAAATAATAATAATTTTGGCAGATGCAACTATAGTCTGATAACTGACATGTTGTACTGTAAATCTGATCTAGTCAGTATGGTTAAGTATTTTGAGTATTGTGGTTGAGACAGAAGAATTTGTCACTTTTAATACTCTTTATTTATGCATGTCTAATTATAAATGGGCAAAATTGCAGGTACATCTGAATCTTGATTTAGAATTATTCATATTTAAATAATTTTCCCAACCGTTTCCATGTGTGAACGCCTTTTCAAACTTTCCAAAGACTTTGGACGCATCTGTTTGGATGACGTAATGCTGAAGCCGGCCAAAGGACTGAATCTGGATATCAGCAAAGATAAACAAACTAAAATAGCTGGAAATTCTACAGCAGCTCCATGTTAGCTTTTAAGAGACTGGCAATACTTTGACGCTTTATGCAAATAAAAGAAGACTTATAAATGTGAGAGAGGTGAAAAAAACAGTAATCACAGAACATGCTGACAGCAAGACAAATGTAACACGTCCATCATATGAGTACATGTTTGAGTGAAATTTCTTTACTATTTCAAAGTTTCGAATGAACTCATATAGACATCTGACATCAGTAGTAGAAAGTTCAATCTTTGTCAATATACTGCGGTTAAGTTAATACTGTTACACATGAATTTTGCTTCTCCGTACTATATTGTATGATAGCATTTCTTTGTTTCTCCCACCGTCTATCAGAAATAGCATGTCTCATCTGCGGGCCAGCCGAGGAGGAGAAAACAGACGCAGTGTGTTTTACACAGCCAACAGTGAGGACTGGGAGATGGTGGATCCTCCAACCAAAGACACACCAGAGCACAAATCTCCACCTGACAGCCAGCGCCGGGAAAGCCCAACTCACGTTCAACGATGTAAGATGATCGTTCAGACATTTTAATGACACACACAAATGATTCAGTTAAACTGAATGCCTCTGAAACTGTGTCTGTCTTGTCACTCCTGACTGTCCGTAGACTCCATTGGCTCAGCATTCACGTTTGACTTCCGCAACCCCTCGAGAATGAAACGGCCCTTTCACATGGGCTCTGGGAAACCCAGCCGCAGTGCAGAGAGCTCACCGGTTGAATGTAACGGGACCAAGACCTCCGAACTGCAGCTCCGCATTCAGAGCCAGCAGGAGGAGATCAGTCACCTGCAGGAGCAAGAGAACCAACTCAGAGAAGAGCTCGCCAGTCAGAAGGTACGATATGAATAAATCAGGTAGGGACCAAGTTTTTTTTTTTTTAAGCCATCAAGACACTTAAGTTTCATTCTTGAAGGTCATAAACTATATTTTATTTTTGTGGTGTGTTTAAGCAAGCTGGTGTTAGTATAAAATGTTAATTTGCAATCCCGTCATATTTCTCTACATGTTCCATAAGTATTTGCTTGAGGGATGGCAGCCTTTAAATGTGTGTCTGCAATTATTCTATTTCGAGTTACATTTTTTCCCCCCATGTTGTACCATGCTGACATACAGTAGTCTTACTGCAAAGGCAGGCAGCAGTTCAAAACAGAGATTTTTATAGGAATTTCATAGCTGTTTGCTAATAGTTCCTCAATCCTTGTAATACTTATTCATGGGGATTTCCCATGTGCAAGTGAATAATCAGACAGTGATTATACTATACATCCTCTACATTTATAATTCACAGACTTTTCTTATATCCACCTTCAAGCTTTGGTGCAGTAAGCCATTTTTTACATCAGCCGTATATTTCTGTTTGCTTTTATATATAGGTGTCAGCACATCTTAAGCAAGGGCCTTGAGAACCACAAAATGGGTACTGTTGTTGTGCTTTTCCCTTTAAAGTTCCCCTTTGGCCCCTGGCTGTGCTTTTAACACATTAACAGCTCTAGATAATGATTCTGTATAACATATAGAAACAATACCGTGTGTTTATTCATGATTACAACATTACTGATAATATTTTATTAACATGTTTTCTTTGCGATTTGCATATTCCCCAAAAATGTGTTCAGTTACTCACTAAATTAGGTGTGATGAGACTGTTTCCTTAATGGCTGAAAATACTGTTGCGTTTTATTAAAACATGCTGAGAAACCTACTAAAACTTTAACTTAAAAAACAGGCTAAGAAAAGAAACTCAAATCAAAAATGAAAACTAAAACTTGATCCAGAGCCAACAAATTGAGCAATGGGTCTTTCTTTGTACCTGCATTTCAGTTCCTTGTCTTTTAAGTTATTTTATCGGCGAATCGGTTTTGAAAATGGCCGATACCGATAATCATAAAAATGCTTAATATCGGCGCCGATAATCGGCCAGGCCGATAATCGGTCGACCCCTAGAATTGATAGGTGAAGCAACAAACAGCCACCCCCAAATAGTCTATAAACAAAGCATCAGGCTGTCTTTGAGTTCACATGAACAACGGTTAAAGTTACTCGTCGTCAGGCTACAGAAGAATACCATAATTCCTCCGTTCAATTAGGCCTAAGACATCGAGAGTCACGCAGACCTATAACAACCCAGCCACAACACATAATTGCGAATTTCATGCCTTACCTTAACACAGAATCGACCACAGAGTCCAGCGTTTATATTTTTTCTACGAATCTTTGGGTTAACATGTACTAAACATGAGTGGAATTTGCACCGCAGCGCCCCCACACCTTGATGCTCATGACAAGAATAGCATGTATAGTTATCTTTATTGAAGTTAATTAGGTTTAAATCGCCGTCATGCATGAATGAATGATATTTTTGCAATTTTACACATAATAATCCACGATGATCACATTACACCAAACTGAAATTGCACGTCAAAATAACACATTGTCAATATTTTTTGAGACCCCCCAAAATTTCACAAATCCCGTTTTCAGGGGAGCCCATGTCTTATTAAGGGGAACCGAGCTCCCCCTAGCTCCCCCGTAGTTCGCACCCTGTTTGTACATAATAATGATTAACTTTATTTGATCTCCAGGTTTCTTTTTTGTTATATCAGTTTGGTGATAATTCATCAGTCCATGAAGATAATTGACATTTGATAGCTGAAGGTTATCAAAACCTTTCTCCAAAATGTTGATCTTATTAGGTAATACAATACTAGACAATTCTAGGGTCAGAATGTAACACAAATTACTTCATCCCGGAGCAATGGGTCTTTCTTTGTACCTGCATTTCAGTTCCTTGTCTTAGTTCAGGTTGCATCATGTGCAGACTTTTGAAACTGTTTAAATGTATTTTTGCAAGGTAAATTGAATGTTTGTACACAGTGTTCGAACTATACCGTGGACTTTGGGGGAGCCCACTTGTTTTTTTGTTTTTGTTTTTAACGGGGGGTTCGTGCGCTTGCGCGTGAATGAAGGCTTACAATGACTTACAAAGATACATAACAGCTACAAGTGTATGCACTACTTGCTTTATGCAAGCACTATATAGGATAAATCACTATACAGGATTACCCTATTATACTTTATCGACACAAATTGATAGGTGAAACAACAAACAGCCACCCACAAATAGTCTATCATCGGTTACAACCACAATGGATTCTCCCAGAACATAAATATCTGTAGATAAATATAAATAAACACAAATTTCAGTAAAAAAAAAAATATTTAAAAAAAAAAAAAAAAAAAAATGAATGAGTAATTTAGTCAATCTGATGCAAAGACAAGTGCCAGCTGACTCGGAGGTATAAATTTTTGCAACTGGTTCTAGTGCAGTGGTAACCAACCCTGCTTCTGGAGGGCTACATTTCTGTGGACTTTAGTTCCAATTCTGCTCCATTGCACCTGCCTATTATTTAAGTAATTCAGAACACATTGATTAGTTGGTTAGGGTGTGTTCGATTAGGGCTGAAGCTAAACTCTACAGGATAGTAAGAAATTAGGCCTTCAGGAGCAGATTTGGCTACCACTGCAAACTTTGACCTCAGGACTGTAAAGACTAATCAGTGACTACGAACGATCCCAGTTTTGCTTGGTCAGTTGGTGTTTTTGAGTAGGTTATCTAAGTAATTGATGGGTAACTGTGGTCTGCTGATCTCAGAGGCTTGAGCTTCACACAGTATTCTCTTCTACCAGGAGTTGGTTCATCTTCTCCAACAAACACTACGTAGCTCCCAATGTGATTGGCGTTCCACAGTGTCTCCTGGGAACATGGGGCCTGACAGTCATGACCAAGCTGAGAATGAGGTGGACAAAGCCCTGGCAGAGCGGGACACCCAGATCAAAGACCTTTGTGGACACATGGAGAAGTTAGCTTTGGAGAAGGAGAGTCTTCAACAGGAGTTGAAGAGTTTGAAGATTAAAGTTGGGGAGATAAATGAACAGCTGGGCATGCTCATGGAGACCATTCAGGCCAAGGATGAAGTCATCATGAAACTTTCCCAACAGAGTAGTATTGAAGAAACCCAGTCGGCTGAATGCAACTCGCCTAGTGCAACTAGGGAACAACAAGAGTTGGACATCCTGAAGGTAGTGCAAGAACATACTAATATATGTACTTTCTAATCACTATATCTGAATATATATAAATGTGTGAGTGGGTGCTCAGTGAGAGCTTAGGGTGAAATACATCTGACATAGGCAAGAGTTGCATGCAAGACTAAGGCATGTTAGAAGTCCTAGATGTTGAGTCCAAGTCAAGTCTTGAGTCTTTTTTTCACAAGACCAATTAAATTCTCAGATCCTTTAGGTAGTAGTTTTCTGTATATTGCAGGTTAGATTTATAAACACTTCATGACTGTTTTGTATCTCACATACAACCTTTTGGCTTTTTTACACTTTTCCAGGACAGCCTTCAGGGCTACAAATCCCAAAATAACTTCTTAAACAAAGAAATTCTGGAGTTGACGGTCTTGAGAAGAAATGCTGAATCCAGAGAAAAAGCGCTAGAGGCAAAGGTCTGTGACTTTAGCTACTCACTGCACACAAACCACCATGGATGTTTTGTTTGCAGATTCTTTCTTATGTGCCATGTTAGCATTTCCTTTTCCCTAGCATTCCAACCTTTGCAGGGTTGCCTGTGCATGTTTTTTTGATAGACGAGGAATCATTTTTGTTCTTCACATGTTCTTTCTTCCTTTGTTGTGTGTTCTACAGTGCACCAGTTTGGAGGCCAAGCTGTGTCAGGTGGAGAGTAAGTACCTGGTTCTACTACAGGAAGTGAAGACTCCCGTTTGCTCCTCCTCAGAGCAGACCCATAGCGGAGAGGTCATCACTCGCTTACTAGAAGATGCACTACAGGTGGAGAGCACAGACCAGCAGGAGCACCCTATCCTCAAACCCAACGCTGTCAGGTATCATGTCACGAAAAATTTTATTTTCCTTGCTTTTTTTTATGTACAGATACTCAGTGCAAATAAAAAAACAAAGCTTCCTCCCTAGTTAGTTCATTTATGCAAATTCAGCTGCAAACATGAGTTATATAGAAGTTGACATGGTAATGAATATATGGCCACTTAAAGCTTTCTGTTACCAAAACGAAGAGTAGAACTAGCTCACCATTCAATATGAAATTTCTTTTGTTTACTTTCAGTTTTGTTCAGCCACCCCTTCTAAAGATCCCATCTTCAAACATGTTTGGTCTTGTTAGCATTCTTCAAATGCTACTTGTCATAGGAACAGGATGTTTTTCTGGTTCTGCAAAACATGTCATGTTCTTCTTGAGTGGATCCATTCTCATACCATGCTTGGTTTCAATTCGTTGTCTTAACAACTCGCCAACTAGTTGATTATTACTATTAAATTTGGCTTTGTACTTTGAAGATTGTTGGGTCTTTTGTTACAAATTGCTTGTAAACCAAATAACCCAGTGATACTGTTTTCTTTGTCATTTAGTGAGTATGACATTTATGGCTTCAAAACTGTCCCGGAGGAGGAGGATGAAGAGGAAAAACTTGAAGCCAAAAAGAGAGCGCTAGACCTGAAGTCCCTCTCCCTGACAGACCAGGAGACCTCAGTCAGGGTGAAGTGGGACAACTACCTGGCCATCACCATGAACAGAGAGATGGTTCGATCTCCAGAGCTTAAGGCGCTGATGCGAAGTGGGGTTCCCCATAAACACCGTTCCAAGGTGTGGAGCTGGTGCGTGAACTTCCATGTGAAGAAGATTCGTGACGGCCTGCCAAAAGACTATTATCAGAACCTTCTGTCCATGGCGAACGAAAAACCAAACCCAGCCTGCAAGCAGATAGAGCTTGATCTTCTGCGGACGCTCCCTAACAACAAGCACTATGCCTCTCCTGACTCGGATGGCATCCAGAAACTCAGGAATGTGCTGCTGGCTTTCTCCTGGAGGAATCCAGATATCGGCTACTGCCAAGGCCTCAACAGGTAGCAGATCCAAACGATTCCATCAGCTCTAGTGTGGGGTGTTTGTGTTTCTTCATGTCTAAAGTGACATCAACACCTTAAAATATATGGATCTGAAAGAGATTTCTGATTGTTTCAGGCTGGCAGCTATTGCTCTTCTGTATTTGGACCAAGAAGATGCGTTCTGGTGTCTTGTGGCCATTGTTGAGGTTTTCATGCCACGTGACTATTACACTAAAACATTGCTAGGTTCACAGGTACTGTCTCAAGATTGTTCTCTCTTTCACAGTCAAGAAAAATCCCCCAAAAACTCAGGCAATTGGAGCACGGGGCTTTGAGAATGCCTTTGTTTGCTGGATATGACTCACTAGCAGCAGGCTAACAGCACATCTCTTTTCTGTTCTGTCATCTGTCACAATGACTTATAAGCTCCTTTCCATCGACAAGACGTTAACATGCTTGTTGAACGAACTTTACCACATTTTGGCCTCATGCAACATGATCACTGTCATGTTTTACCTTAGTTTCCGGTTACTAACTACATGTTCGTATGCAGAGTAACTAGCCAAGTGCTTTTCAATTGAAACCACATTATTGTCACACTGCTAGTTATGGCTTTTCATTGCTGACATGTGACTGCAGCAGGCTTTTTGCCAGACCTGCCAATGAAAACTGAAATATAAATAAGGCCCATAAATAAGTCCATGAAATGGTGTTTTGGTATTTTCTATCACAAAAAAAATGTGTTTGTTTGTTTTGCTTTGTTTGTTGATTTGTTTTTGCTGTATCTTGTTTTTGATATAGGTAGATCAGCGCGTGTTGAAGGACCTGATGTTTGAGAAGTTACCCAGGCTTCATGCTCATTTTGAGCATTATAAGGTGGACACCTCTCTCATCACCTTCAACTGGTTCCTGGTTGTGTTTGTGGACAGCGTGGTCAGCGACATCCTCTTCAAGATCTGGGATGCTTTTCTCTATGAGGGACCCAAGGTATGGAGAATTATGTAGATATGGTCCTTCAACATAGAATTGTTTTGTAAGTAATAGTTTATGTAACCACAACACAGATGGCTTGAAAGATTTACTGACAAATGTAAAATGAGCATTGCAAATCCTCAGACACTTAGATAATACTTTAATACTCACCTTTCTTATTATTAATTTCCATAATGAGTCATATTAGTCTAGTTGTGTGCTGAAGTCTCTTTTTACCTTGGCAGATAATTTTCAGATTTGCTCTTGCACTCTTCAAATACAAAGAAGAGGAATTTCTAAAGCTCCAGGATCCCATGACCATTTTCAAGTACCTTCGGTACTTCACACATACAATCTTGGATGCAAGGTTTGTGCTTCAGGTGTAAGGGATAGCAATAAATTATCATGAAACACACTTTGAGAAACTTTTTTAAATTATTATTTTGACTTTGACAAAATTTTGACAATTTATACTGGCTACATTTATTTCTTTATTTATAATTGAATATTTTTGTACTTAATAATAATAATAATGAATAAACAAATAATATAATATTAATATTTTATATGATACATATTTATTATATTCTCTTTTTTGAAATATTTTCAATTATTTCAGTTTGTGGTTTGATTCGTCAGCATTGGGAAACAACTTGATACACATCAGCTGCTTTACTAATAATATAATTAAATGATTTAATAATAATAATAATGCAGTACACAGGTAATATCTGTTTTTTATAATATACAGTAATATACATATTTATTATGTTTTTTTTTCTTTAAAAATGTTTTGAAACATTTGGGAGCCTTTTTGCAGGAATATTGTCTATTATTTTGATGTATTATATTTTAGTTATTACTTTATATGTGATCTTGTGTTTCGCACAGGAAGTTGATGAGCATGGCCTTTGTGGACATGAACCCATTTCCACTGAGGCAGATCCAGAACCGTCGCACGTTCCACCTGGAGAAGGTCCGCCTGGAGCTCACCGAGCTGGAAGCCATCCGGCAGACCTTCCTGCGGGAGAGAGACACCACCCTGGAGGGCCGCACACTCATCAGTGATGACGAGGAGGACAGCTGAACCACAGCCGATAAGGGACCAGACCTGCAAAGATGATTAGCCAATCACATCGTGTCTTATACTTTTCAATGTATTTCACTTAACAAACTGTGAATTTGAGAGACCAAAGACCAGTATTCCTTTTGATTAATCAAAATAGACGTCTTTTTCATTGTCTTGTCTAGTATTTCATCCATTTTTACATTGACCAAAATCAGTATTAAAGTAACCAAAGTACTTTGCATTTAGGTAGTAATGATTGGTGTGGATTGGACAAGTGTCAAAATTCTGATACACTTACATTATGCTGGACATATTGGGATGTACAATCCTGGACACCAACACTTTTTCCTTTCAGCCGCACTTATTAAAACTTTATTTGTTTACTTACTCTTAGTAATCATATCAGTACTTGTATTTTATTGTAAGAATCAAATTCAAGTTTACAAGGCCTGCCCTCTTTCTAAACATTCGGTACTTTTATTAAGCTTAATCACTTCCACTTAATTCACTGTCAAGGAGTGGAAAACGCTCATGTGTGTTAGATCTATCTACCAGTACTTCCTGTCTGCTCAGGACATGATTACCAAACCCTGCTATATCACATGATTTTTTGATTTATGATTTATGTTTCACAAGCATCAGTTCTTGTGTATTTAGGTTCTAGAAGCACAATGCACATTTGCTGTCTGTTGAGGTGTCTCACTGGTACCTTTATTGTTTAAATTCAGGTGTTTCCTTTGTTTCTGAGCATTTCTCTTCTATTTTAAATATGATACCGTGTAAAATCCACAGTGATACCTGAAGCTGCTCAAAATGAAAATAATAATGTGGAAAATGTTTTTTTTTTTTTTGTCAAGGGTTCCAAGAAAGTGTTAATGTTGTATGTTGTTACTGAAATTCACAGACAATTGAAAATGGAATAACAACCCATAAGGGCCTGTGTAATGGATATCTGATATCCATAAGGGAATGGATATCTGAATTACTAGCACTTTTCTTAACTTTCAATGTAAAATTTTGCTTCTGTCATTTCAAAGTCATGTATTACACACTCATATGTATGCTTGGAAAAGGTGTACTCCCTTTTAAATATCAGTGCAATTACATCTACTTTTCATTTAGCGCAGTTAATAGATATTTTACTCCATTTCAGCATAATATTAGATGCACATATTAAACATTTTATCACCTGCTAGTATGACTGCAAATGTCAAGACGAACAAAAATGTAAAACTGATAGTTTATGGTCTTATTGTGAGAGCCGGTCTCTCACAATGACCATGTTTTTGCATGTAGATTTGGTCACCCATACTGCCCTTAAAAAAGAAACGTGTTATTCTTTTTGAAATATGTAATTTTAAGTCAAACTAAGCCCATATTTACATATGTTTTCTCTGTTTTTACATATTGCAGTCTCAGACTTTGTTTGTTTGGTTGCTTCAGATAATCTTTAGTATTTCTGTTATTTAGCTGTCAAGTATGTTATGGGAGCTATAGTAGTTGTCTTGTGTCTTCAGTGAGTAAGCTATGATTTCAAACCGTCTTTGATGCTGTTGTTCGATGATCCAATGCGTTGCACAGGTCTTTGTGTATAAAAAATTATTGAATTCTTTGTAATGTTTCTGAAACTTGTCTGTTGACATTATAATCCTCCAAATTTTATGTTTTTTTTTTACACTTATGCATGATCATCCAATAAATTTCTATTGCAAACAAGTTTGTGTAGTTCTTATACATCTCAATAGCTTCCTCCATAAACAATACAACAGTTACAAACGTCTTTCTACATGAAAAAGAATGTTTTACAGGAAATGCAGAGTAGGGCTGCAACAATAGAGAGATCTTAATTCCTTCCTGTTTTTGTGATGGTTGTATAATATTAAAATAATAAATCCTACGGCATCTAAAATATACTGTTCAGCCACAGCCAGTATGTGTAATTTTTAAGAAAAAAAAAAAAGATGTTGAAAAAAATACAATACCTATTTTATTTGTCGACTATTTTATTCTTTAGTCTCGTACAGATGCAACAACTGTTGTTGCTTACCATGTCCAGCAGATGGCGATAATAGTGCATAAATAATGGATCAAACAAAAGCAATAGAGAATAAATAATAGTTAATAAAGTATTTTTTTAATCTATATCCCCGACCCCAACATTCACAGCGTGCTATCAAGTCCTTCAAATTAGTTGATAGGTTTGACCGAATCACTGTAAAGGAACCGAATCAAATGAACAACTCATTTGCGAATCGGACATGGCTGATGTGTTCAATAATAATCAATAAAGTCCGACTCTTTCCTCAACTCGGTTCTTTTGAACTGTTTGAACAGCTTGTCTTAAATCCCTATTTACAGTACATATTACTTGTAACATTTCCGCTATTATGATAACTTTTTACTGCACTAGTCAAACTCTTGGTTCTCTCCAAATGTAGCCTACTATCAATTCACTTCTCCGTTTTCCGAAAGTCAGTAGTGTGTAAGTTTACACGCGCACTTGTTTATTTATTTACTTAGGCTACTTACTTGTCTTCATCTGTCTGTCCAAGTAGCATTAGCTCGATTGGTGTAAACATGCTGGATGAAGCCGAGATACAATCGGATCGGTACGTTTTCAGACTAAAATGTTCATTCGATTAAAAAGATGAAGTACTGCTTTAATTCGACTGAAATCTAACTCTTAAAGTGCATTTTGATTTGAAAACAGATTTTACCGATTCAATTATTTCCTAAACGACTCATTTACACCGGTGTGTTTGAACGAGATTATCATTATTTATTATTAGATCATTATTATTGGTTTGAACCGGTTCAACGATTCACTGAAAAGCATCGCCGTTCTGACATCACCGCTCGAGATTGACAGCATTAGCGCGTGCGCTCCTCCAGTCTCCAGTTCAACAGGACAGACGCGCTCAAACCCGGGAATGCGCTATATATTTCAGCGGAATACAGTAAAATAAGTGTTTTCTCTTAAAAGAAAAGGTAAGACGACCCACATTTTCTTACTAATTTAAAGTATCAAAGTTACGTTTTCTTGTAGTTCAGTGTCTTGTAAAACTTGTGAGCAATGATAGCTATAGGAAGAGATGTTATGGTGTGAATGTTTCTCGTGGTTATTGTGTTGCGCTTAGTTATAGAGTAGCCTACAACAAACACCAGTACAGTATGTGTTTACCTGCACCTGTAAGGTAAATATTTATCACGATATTATCAATATACTTATATTCTTTACTTATATAACAATGAAACGGTAAGTGAAGTCAGTGTTTCATGAACAAATGCTGCCCTAACGTGCACTTTTTCCCTGGCAAAATCACATAGACAGCAGTCTCAATTTCACCTGATAATTCTCATCACATTGAACCCTCATTTTCTTCTAAAGAAAGTAATTTGATCACTTCTAATTACTTGATATGTCAATTTTAGTCTACATAAGGCTCTTTTTGTCTGATTCCTTCCTACCTTACATCACCTTCAGTAAGCAAAACTGTATATTTTGTGACATTCTCACATTGCCTTATACGTCCAAACAAGAAAGATGTGATACATGCTCTTTTACACCTTGTTGGAAGTGAAGGAATGCAGTGCAGCATGCTGCAACGTGCTGATGTGAGTGTCTGTGACTTACAGAGCTGCACCCTACAGATCTGCAGAACTTCCCTAAGCGTGTGTGCTTCTCGGGGGACACCTTAAGACAGATTTGACCTGCTGTCCCCTGTTTACCGAAACACATCATCAATGAGGACATTAGGAATGGCTGTGTTCAAGCAACAAAAAGTGGAGGATTTCTATGATATTGGTGAAGAACTTGGAAGGTAAGTGATATGATGGGTTGCCTGAGGATGTTTTACATTCGCTTCCAGCTTTTGTGGGTTGTTGACTTGCCGGTAATTTCCATGGATGGTCCCCTGAGGGTATTTACAGGACAGTTTAACAGCTGGTGAGCTAGAGTTTGGGAACAAAAAGCTTTTACCTAACAACTGACAAGCTTCTCTGATTTTTCATGTCACTGGACAATAACAAAATGCATCCAAGGTATTATATCAAAACTGTTTTTAAGGGTATAGTTCAACCTATAATAAAAATTCATGGTGTTTCCATTTATTTTTCTTCTGCAGAACACAAAAGAAGATATTTTGAAGAGTGTTTAAATTATTTGGGTTCATACACTCCTAAAATTAAAGGTTATTTATTGGCACAGAACCTTTCCATTCTACAAAAGGTTCTTTATAGAGAAAAAAAAGGTTATTTAGATTTTTAAAATAATCTTCACACTAAAAAGTTGTTCTTTTAGGACGTGTTCACTGAAAGGTTCTTAGAGGAACCAAAAATGGCTCTTCTATGGCATTGCTGCAAAAACCCTCTTTTGGAACCTTTATTTTTTGGACTGTTATTGGGGTCCGACATTGTTTTGAACCCCACTGAATTTCATTTTATGGAAAAACAAAACAGAGGGCATTTTTCAGTCCCTTTAACATATCATATTGTTACAATAATCTTAAAAAGCACATAGTAGTTGGAAAATATAGGAAGGATCTACAGTACACTGAGCAAAAACGTAGGGCCCCCCCACCCTCCTTTCCCCTGACACCAGTTCTCATTCTTGAGTCATGTTTTGTTCTCTCTTACAAAGCACACTTCCCTTAAAAGCTGTCCCAACAGGCAAGCCTAACACTTATTAATGCAAAAAACTTTTATAATAACAGCATTTCTACCATTTCAGCAGAAGGAAGTTGCAAATCCATCCAGACAGGAAGTGCTAAACTGTGTGAACATTCAGGAAAGGTGTAGTCTCACATCCAGGTGACTGCCGTGTCTCTCCTCTGGCTATAGGTTGCAGGTGAAAGTCACCCTTTGGTGCTTATCTGTCATCGGTTTCTCTTATAAAAACTTGAATATATACAAGGAAGGCCATAAAACTGTTTTCAGGGCAGCTTGGAAAAGCATCTTCCTGTAATTCGGAAAGGTTGTTCCCTTTTGTCACGGACGCCTCCTATGAGGTACTATGGGTTACAGCAGAAAGACA